CTTTCATTTAAAACTCTTCTGCACCTAAATACACCCCAAACACTAAAAATTAAAAAAAAAAAAAAAAAAAAAAAAAAACCACCAGCAATATTTTTGGCAATAAGTTAATATTTTTATACAGCAAATCCAGGAGGCCCAGATTAACACTGTCAGATTTGATTTCAACACTTTTAAAGTGTCTATATGGGTCCAGACCAGAAAGTGTTAATTTAACTCTTTTTGGAGAGCTGGTACCTCAACTCTAATAAAGTGTCAAATATCAAATCTGCTGGAGTTAATCATTTAACACTTACTAACACTAATTCAGTGTTAGATCTTAATATTAACTCTCACAGAGTACTTCTTTAACTTCTTAAGTTATTTGTAATTAATATTAAATAGGTACTGTATTGTGTTGAACTTTTAAAAATTCTTTGGAAAATAAACATTTAATAAAGAGGCAATGATTTTCTCAAATGCATTTATTCCAAAATGTGCACCATAATTACATAACACATTACAACGTGGAATAATGTGCATGTTTCACATGTCGTTTTCCTTCACATATTGCTTTTTAAAAGGTCTGACATATCAGCTGTGCAATACAAAATGCAGTATGCTTAATACATTTTTCTTCATTACAATATGCATGAAATTGTTCAAAGGACAAGGCGGAGAAAGTAATGCCTGTATCAATGCATGCAGTTCATGTAATATTTGATAGAGTACATTTTCTTTTAACAGGTAGATTGCCAGATATGTACATTACATAACAGACCAACCTGATATTCAGATCCATCATTTCTTATCCAGTTTCTGTTTCTGTTGATAAGAGACAGATCCTCTCTGCACTCCACCAGAGAGATGTCCATCACTAACAGATTGTCTTCAGGTTGTTGGGCTGTTCGTGACGTTTGGCCGGAGACACCAACATGCTCCTCTACTGCATCGGACCGTCTTCAGTCTGAGTAGGACAGCCAGTGTCGGACTCTGGATCATAACAAACAAAAAACAGAACAATAAGGAATGGAGCGAAGGAATAAATTTTTACTACAACTCTAACAACAAGCCTCCATTACAGAAATGTGGAGTTTCACAGATATTAACACTTACATAATCATTTTTGGAGCTTGAATCTTCGAAGAATCCATGGAGGGATCAGGAGGGGGAGGTTAGGCTGGAGATTCATCCTCAACCAGACTGGTTCTAATATATACAAAAAGGCAATAAAAGGGTTAAAACATGCTGCAAAACGTATATAAGAAGACACAACAGCGGGAATAATGCTCTCAAAGTAAAAAAGCCTTTTACATTTTTTCAAAGGAAAAAAATCGATCAGAAAGGTTGATAAATCTGACCAATATGCATGTAAACGTTCAAGATCATGAAAAAACATATTCCAGATTATTACGGATCTGTTCAAGTTAGCCAATAATTTGATTAAATCTTCACCGGCTCGATATTTTTCCAACATTTATACTCCGCTAACATTCGGCATGCTAAGCTAAATATGCTAACACCGAGCCGTCTGTCATACAGGTTGAGCTCAACTCAAAATAATAGTTATAAACCATCTCAGAAAAAAAATAACTAACCAAGCGCAGTAAATAACTCAGACATGTGGAGAGTAAATAGTCCTGAAATTATATGGTTTCTGTCGCTTTGCTTCCGTGGGAATCTGTGATTCTGGGGCGGAGGCAGTGAATTAACTCCTTCAGTGTTAGAGCCACTGTAAGGAGTTCAGAGTTAAGAAGTAAAGAGTTATTGATTCCATTTTAACACCTCTAGATTTGATAGGGAAACACTTTGTTTTAACACTGGATGTTAACTACTAATAATATACACCCCAGACTTACATAAACAGAAAGTGACTCCAGTGAAGCCCAGCCCGTTACCGAGCAACCTAGGCTGAGCTCCAGCACATTTGGTCAGCTGGTTTTCTCGCTGTAAGCGCTGTACAATGGCTGCTGGAAGAGACAAGTGTTTTGTTGTTGACTTACCATCCTGAAAGCCCTTGTTGCATCCCTGTTGGTTTCACATCAGCTTTTCAATGATGTAGGGTTGGATAATGTGCTTTATTACATTTAATTGTGCAGCAGTTTGGTCAATATCTGTTGTTTTTATGTGCTACAGAAATAAATTGACATCGACATTATAATATGGGAAAAATGTCTTAAGTGAAATGATCTGCCAGTGGACCTAGAACTATTCTATCAATATTAAGAAATTATTGACTTAAATCAAGTTTCCTAAAAAGTTACTTGTAAGTTTGTTTTGGGTTATTTGAAATGTTCTGATATATTTGCACTACAAACTAGACCTAAAATACTTGGCAAGATTTTGTGTTTTTACAGTGCATCAAACTCAGTCCGTCCAGTCGAGACAGTTTTATTCAAATTAACTATTTTTTTAGAGACAAATTCAAGTTGTATTAAAAAATGTAACACAAATAAAATATTTTTTAAACTGCACAATAAAAAATATTCACAAAATGAAACAAATTTTTGATCAAGATGACGTTAAAGTAATTTTTACTTGTTAACAGGATGTAATGGGTGCCCCTTGTTTGAACAGGATATGAACAGGAAGCAGAAAAGGGAGCTCCAAGCATGAGTGACTCTTTCTGCAGCGCTGCAGCTCACACACTTACACACACTTACACACACACACACACATGCACACACACACACAGTTCAGTGGGTGTAAAGCTCAGACTGAAACTTGCACTGAAAAAACCCCAAACTGCAGTTAATCATTTTCACGCCACACGTGCAAAAACCCAGACGTGTTCATGGCGTGTTCTCATGTGTTTCTCTAAACTCTGATGATTTAGCTGCAAGCTAATCCAGAGTGAGCTCTGCTAACGTTTTGCTCTGACAGCCAGTATGTATCACACACACGCTGAACAGGAAGCAACATGGGATTATGCAAATGAGCAGCAGAAATGCTTTAGAGAACAGAGGAAGGTGTGATAGGCGGAGGGAGGGAGTCACAGAGGATCTGCTGCTGCTGCTGCTGCAGGCTGAGAAACAAACAGGAAGGTGTGTGTACGCAGCGGCGGTTGAGCCCAAAACGAGTCAGACTCAGCAGCTTACCTCCTCTGATGTGGATGACGGCGAGTGTGTGAGAGGCAGCTCTGACATGCCTTAAGGGGGATTATTAATGTCTCAGCACATCAGAATGGATTTCCATCAGAGGGCCGCTCTGGATATCTCCACCAAGAACCCTCAGGACGACTTCGAGATTCTGCTGCGAGTCGGAGGGGGAACCTACGGAGAAGTCTACAAGGTCAGAGTCCTGGGCTGCTGCTTGACAACATGGCTGCCAAAAATCAGAAAAAAATCCACCTAAACGCTTCGTGAGACATTTTCACCAAGTTTTAAATCATAAATATTCAGTTTAACACTGCAAACACAGAATTTAAGCAAGTGTTCTTCTCTAGTTTCTAGTTCAAATATCTGAGTACACTTGACATAAGACAAAACTAAACTTTTTTAGCAAGATATAGGATCAAAATTCTGTAATACTGATAAAAAAGTTCTTGTTCCAATAATATTTTTCCCATGAGAGAAGACAATCTGCCAGTGGAACTAGAACCTTTTCAACAATTTTAAGGAATTATTGACTTAAAACAAACTCCTATAACATGTTGAAAAGTTAAATGTGAGTCAGATTTGTTTTAGTTCATGTGTGTGAAGACATTTGCACCAGAAGTGCTGGTTCAGATTCAGTTTTTGCGGTGTGGGTGAAGTTTGGCCATTCGGCGCTGGTTTGGGTCGCCTCCACTGAAGCGTTTCTCCGTTCATCCAGAACAGCAGCTTGCTGGGTTTTAGTTCTTATTTTTAATGTTGAGCTCCTCTGTGAGCTGCTCATGAATCGTTTGTAGCTGAACTGGTTCATCACTATCATAAGTTCAGCGCAGCTGCCAGAGGAAGTGGTTTGATGTGAAGTGAAAGTATTTATGAAGAAATATATATAAAAAAACACAATCCACTCAAAGCTGCGGTTCTTCATTGTGTATTGTAATAAGAATGGATAAATTTTTTCTCTTAGAATCACTTTTGAAACATTCAGTTTCATAAAATAAAGGTTTAAACTTTTGCTTAAAGCCTTTTCTTCTCAGATGAGATTTTAAATGATTCAGTTTTGTTAAAGTTTCTCCCAAGCACTTCCTATTATTAAAGTTGGATCTTTAACTGCAGCTGCGTATTTCTGTCCTCTCTTAAATTTATCCTTCCATCTGTCACTCTGTGGCTTGTTGGTTTAATTTGGCACTTACCAGAAATCCCTCCTACTGCTGAACGGTTTGTATCAAAACTAAGCGACTAAATCTACCAAATGAACATGATGCTGGTTTCTGTCCTGCAGATGTTCAGCTGATGCTCAAGTCTGTGGAGATGTTGGTCCAGTAAATTATGGAATAGATTATAAGCTGGATTTGTCCTGGAACATCTGCTGGTCATGTTGGGACAGTCTGGACCTTACACTGTAAAAACACAACATCTTACCAAGTAATTTTTGTTTAGTTTCTAGTGCAAATATTCTAGTATATTTGAATTAAGACAAAACTATCAGAAGTAAAAACATTCTCTTAATTAGAGAAATAATCTGCCAGTGAATCTAGTACTTTTTAAAAATCAATATCAAGGAGTTACTGAATTAAAGCAAGCTTCTATTTCTTGCTAAAAAATTACTTGTAAGTTAGTTTTGTCTTATTTCAAGATATTTGTACTGGAAATACTTGTTAAGCTGTTGTGTTTTTGCAGTGCGGTTGGTTTTGATGTCGTCGTCTTCTTGCCTTCTTGGGGTGATGAACGTAGCGGTCCAGGCTGCGGACTGGGCAGAAGTTGCTCCTTCATCCTGGAGGTTTTTAAACATCCAGGTCGGAGCGTTAGAGCGAAGCGAGAACAACCAAATCACCTCGGAGGCTTCGTTAGGCGCTCTGCAGAGCGTGGCCAGCTTGGAAGTGGCACAAGCAGCTTGAAGAGGCGGCCATGTTTGTAAGCTTTCCCCTGAAAAAGCTCAACACGTTCCGCGTCTGTATTTTTGATTTTATTTTTAACCACGGAGTTAACATGACAATGTTTGAAGGAGTAGAAACATTTCTTTAAGCGGTCTCAGTCGGTAAAAAGATTCTTATCTTGTCGGCCTACAACTAACTATTATTTTAGTAATTAATATTCTGACGATTTATTTGCAGTTGAAAAATGCAAATAAATCAATAATTAAAGAAAATAAACATTTTATTGGCTAAAGTGCAACAACAGCATTTCTTTGCTGTCTGCAGCTAAGAAATTCTTCTAACATCAACATGTGAAAAGCTGAACTTTCTGCTGGACTGACTGCAGGGCTGATCTGGTGGTTATGTTTCTGATTCACAACATAGAAAAAGCTTCTGATAGGAGATTTTTAAAAATTAAATTTAAAGCTAAAACTCTGTCACCCGAGGAAACAGCGGTTTTTTTTGTTGTTTTTTTTTTCTTATTTTAAATGCACAATATTTTTTTTGTAAAGTTTTGGCTTAATTTCTGCTCTGAGTGTGTTGTTCCTTCAGCTGATGGCCCATTTCTGAGTCTGTGATCTCCAGTTAACGATTAATTGGTTGCTTATTTAGATGGCAATTATTTCAATAATCATTTAATCACGATTAATTGGATTAATTGTTTCAACCCTACTTTGTTGGCTCCCAAAATCCTGTTGCAGAGAAGCTGAGAAGTGAAGTAAATGCAGATATTTGTTGTTAAGTTTGCATAATTAACTTTTGTCGTCTTTTATTTCCATTGTTTAATTCCCTGGTTTCTGCTGCAGGTCCAGTATTTTGGTGCCTGGAAAGAGGCTCATTTTCCAGACACCAAAATACATGAACTTATAAAAATAGTTCTCGTGTGACGTCGCATTTCCGTGAACTTCGTGACCGACAGCCATTTTGGTAGGCAGTTGCTATGACAACAGTGGACTAACCACCTCGTTCCCATCTAACTTATAAACAACAGAAGTGCATTACGACTATTACTTGATAACAGTTTCTGAGTTCTCCACTCACCTCTGATAAATATCAGTGATATTTACTGTATTGCTGCTGAACTACCAAAATTATCTTAGCTAATTTAGCTCTTAGCTTCTAGCTAAGATGGACACTTGTTACTCACTCAAAAAGTGTGAATAACAAGTTGGTCCTTTCCAAATCCATTTAAACGCTGATTGTATGCATGTTTAGATTTCAGGTGAGGCTCTTCCTGTTCACTGGTATCTAACTGTGTCACAGTGTGAGATCGGAGGCAGCGAGTCCACATCGTCTGACTTATTTTCCTTCTTCGTCTCATCCCGACAGCAGCCATTTTGTTCATGTATCTGTCTCTTGCGCATCGGTTAAGATTGTTCACATATTTTCCTTTTGTTGCTCTGGAAGCCGTGGTTCTGCCATACTTTGCCTACTAAGATGGCACAGATCTCTTACGGTTCAGACTCATGGGAACTATGAACTTTGGGCTGTTTTTAGAAGCAGTTGAGACACAAATGGAAGTACAAAAATGTGCAAAATATGAATTTTGCATAATTAGTTCCCTTTAACACATTCTCTGGTATCACAGCAGCACATCTGCATCACAATCGCCTGAAAACTGTTTCCCTGTTTTCAACCGTCTGTTTCACACATGTTGATGTTTTTATTCTCTTCTGCTCTGTAGTGGAAAAGCAGAAAAAGAACCATTTTAAATATAGTTTAAATATTCAGCTTGTGTGTGAACCCTGATACTAACCTGACAGTTGAAGGGTTGGAATAGCTCAGATTTAATTTAGCTTGCCAGCGATCAGCAGCAGCTCAGGTTTCATAGCTTCATTTGTTGCAGCGTTGTCGACTAAGGTTCTGGCAGCAGATCCTGGTTTCTGGACTCTGGTGGGTAGGAGTGGGCATGAGATTGTGTTGATGTGATAACCTTTAGTCAAAGCTCCTCAGTTTCACTTCATTTCCACAAAAACGTTGAAGCTAAAACGTTCACCATGATCGAATTACTCTTACTGACAGCAGGCGTCCCTGTACAGAAAGTCTCTGGTTCTTCACAGCCGTGTGCAGTTCGATGAAACTCGGTCAAACATTGGTGGGATTGATACAGCTGGTTGGATTTTGTTCCTCAGATTTGGCTCTAATCTTCAGGATTTTCTCCTGAAGACTGATTTGCACTGCAAAACCACAAATGTTACCAATACTTTGGTCTAGTTTTCAGTAATACATCGTAAGAAACTGGAAATAAAACAACTATCTTATGAGTAACTTTTCAGCAATATGTTGCTTGTTTTAAGTCAATAATTCCTAATTCCAACAGCTGAAAAGTTACTTTTAAGTTAGATTAGTCTTAATTCAAGTGTTTTAAGAACCTAGGTAAGATGGTTGGTAATATTTTGTGTTTTTGCAGTTTGGACAGTAGAAACAGGAATTTGGAGCTAACCTTGAAGTCAGTTTTTCTGAAACTTCCTCCTCTCACGTCAGTGTGATGAAGGAAACCCTTCAGTAAAGCTGATGCTTCATCCTCCTGTCAGATGCATTTACACTTCAGTCTGCTGCTGTTTTTAGGTCTAAATCTGCTTTCAGAGTGTTGGTGTCCAAATGTACCATCTGTGTTAATGAAGTCATGCAGTAGATCAACATCCAAAGAGCTGCAGACAAAATCAGCTACTGATGCAGCCGTTAGCTGCTGCTGTGATCTGCAAATATGTCTAAAGTTTGTTTCTGATAATTCAGTGCTATATTTTGGTCCCAGAAAACCAACAAATCTAAACTTTACCAACATTAATATGTCAGAATTTTCCATTCTGGTTTTTTCAAAACTGGAAAGTAATTTAAAAATCACATTTTTTTCTATCTTTGTTGCCTCAAAGCAACCATGACTTTCGGTTAGGAATGCAACATGGCGCAGGGCCGTAAATCTCCGTTTCCCCACGTAAACACGCAAACAAAATACAAAGTTTTCTGAAATCTGCACTTTGGTCGGAGTTTTGTTGATATTAGTTTTAGTGTGGATGAAGAGACACATAAAAATGTTTTTCTCAAATATCCGACTAGTGTGAACTTTGCCTAAATGTCTCATTAAGTAATGTACAGTAATATATCCTTTAAATAAGTGAATAAGGAATAATCATATGTATTTTTAGGTTACAGGCCGAACAGTTTGGTAATCCCTGATAATTTGTGTGGAACAGCTGATTGTTTTAATCTATCTTTGTGTTGCCCAAAGATATGCCTGTACAGAAAGGCAACTACAGCCTGTTTCTAAATATGACAGGAGAAAAAG